GAATGAAAATATAAAAAATTGACACATTTGGGCAAAAAATGCACAATGTAAAATAAAAAAAATCAATTCTCATTCGTTAAATAAATGTCATTCAAATTAATTCATTTCAATTTAACTTTTTGCTTGTTCTTTTTCTCTCCCTCTGACTGTAAATTGTGATAATGTTAATGCATCCGGTTTGAATCAAACCAATAATTTCTCAGTGAATGTTTAATTCATATAAATAGAGGCTGCAGCGTAGCATTGCATACATATATAAGTGACAAAATATTTGGGCTGAATTTAATAAAAGTTCTGGTTTTGATTTACTTGCATGCAAATTGAGCTGTGTATGTGAAATGTAAATAATTTCAGAAAAAAGACAATGCTTACAAACTCGACATTTTTAAATGCATTGAATGTGAGATTTCATTTTGTATCTAACTTTTTCACACAAACCTCTTTCTACGCACTGAATATGCCATTTTCAAAATAAAGATGGGTAACAATAATATGGCCAGGCAAATTTTTGTTAAAATCATTGAACATTCCAACTAAAATTACGGTGGAATTATACCAAAGTTTATCTTTATGTGCAAACTAAATGTACATATAAGCGCAAAGAACGATGAAAATGTGGTTGCTATTTATAGACTAAAGTCAGAAAAATGTAAATTTTATTGTTCCGTTTTTATTTTGTATTAGATGCAGATTAAGCTCAGTGTGACAGAGCCGCAGCTTTTAAACAAAATAAATTGAAGGTATAAAAACTCAAAATTTTCATTATAAAGCAGAGTACAGATAAATATCACAAAAAGGAAACGAAATGAATGCGTCACTGTAACCAGCAATCTTACTCAATTCAATTATTTACTTTTCTAATGTGCTTGATTACATAATTTGGGGCTATAATAAATCTACATTTGGTTATTTGGATAAACAAAATACTACTATTTTACTTTGGTGATATACACCGTTCAATATTATTTGAATCGTAGTGACTTCATAAGATCCATGGAGTGTACCTGCATCATTGGAATTGTAGTATCGGTAAATTTTCAATATTTGTATCATGACTGACCTTTATATTAAATTACCTTCCACAGGACCTCATTATGTACTACAACTTAGTTGGCCCGAATCGCTTTCTATATAATAGTTTGGTGAATTTTGGAGGAAAATTTATCTACACAGACATAAATCAGCGATCAGAATACAACAATGTTTGCGAAAGGCATTTTAGAAAACTTTTGGCGAACTTTGAATGTGTCAATAATAGTTACATTGATGATTTTGTCGCACGGGATGATTATCCTTGGTCCTCTGTATGCCTACTATTTTCAAAACATTCGAATTACTCCACTTGCTACGAACTTGCCACTTTTGGAAAAAGATTCTGATATTGATTTTACGATAAACCTATCACTTCAAGCAGTTATGGCAACATATGCGTTAGCTGGAAGTGTATCAATTGAAATAGTGGCATGTTTAATTGTTGACGTAGTTTCTATTATCCCAGACTTGATTTAAATCAATTTAAAGGAGCTAGCCAATGAAATTTGCTTGAAAGGATTTGGCTTAAACCAATTTCAGGTATCTCCGCGGCTATTAACTCAAGTGTATTACTTAAAATCGTTTTTGATACCATTTCTATTTACATTTTCGGTAAGTTTATTGATTTTTGCCCAGTTTGTTGTGAGTACGACTGAAATGATTTCCTTTTTTTCTCATTAGCTTAATTTTCCATCTGGGTATGCGTGCGCAATTTGCTGTTACAAATTGGCGGTGAATATAAATTTCTTAAATTTTTTTTACTTGTTCGTTTTTCGATTCAAACGAAGTGTTTCTATTTAGAACGAGAAAATTACACTGCGATTGTATGAAATGCCATGGTATTTACTTTCAAATTCAAGCCAAAAGCAAATAAGAAGTGCAATTCATCGATTTCAGAATGGTGTCACACTAACTATTGGGCCACTTGGTGAAATCGATCTACAGACAGCTACAACAGTAAAAATAAGTCACACTTTTGAATTGTGATGAATGAGTAAAATAAGCACTTCCATTTCAGTTGACTCGAAAAATCTACAAATTTATAATGATGCTGTTTGCGGTTTTCAAGTGAGGACTCCTCACTGTGCAGAATTCATTACTCGATTCAAGTGGAGAGAAATGCACATTAGTTTAATTTTATTCATATTTTGAAGATATATTCATTTCACTGAACACAATTGAATAATATTCACTTTGATATATGTTTGGTTAAAAGCAATTAATGCGTCAGTAATACGTCATTCTTATAATCTGAAACTATTTAAAGTAAATGGGATAAATTGTTTTTTTTTCATACAATAGCCACGACGGCAATGAGTCATCATATGTTTTATTCTGCAAAAGGGCAATTTTTTAATGTTTTAATAATTTGATAATAAATATTTATGTTTAAAGCATTTAATCTAAAAGCATATAATAAATATACCAGAATACTCAACGCACTATAACTAATTTGCTATCATTTAAGTTTATTTCCATATTTTACCGCCTTTTTCGTAGCCCATCTACAAAATCTATTTTGCAAAGTAATTTTGATGCTTCGATCGATGTACTTTAAAACAAGTTATTGGTTGCTGAAGTTTGCGATGAACTATTTATTCAGCCGATATACCAAGTGTTCAACATTTTGAAACATCGAATGATGAAGGTAGTTCAATCAATGAATGCAATATACCACGGACGATGGATTTTAGTGTGATTCTATGAAAACCATTCATGGGCCATCGGAAATCTAATTGTTGATAACGTGTGGGATCGTGTGTAATAAACTCATATATTTTAAATTACAACACGCATATCTCGAATATGGTTTAAAATCGGGTTTGCAATTTCCAGTTTCATTTTTGGTATTGGTGGTTTGACACGTATACACTATACCGATATGCGCTTGAATGAATGAAAATTTAATATAAAAAGAAACATTAATCGTAATTATTGTGCTGATGCAAAAACATCGGTGTGAAGAGTCTGGTAGATGTAGCAAATATAAAGCAGAGCGTATATCGTTTATTTGCAAACACCCTTTCATGTCAAACGCATTGAAGGTAATGAATGTTTTTCAAAGTGTGTGGCAAAATGATAAAATCTTCCCTAGCTTCCGGCTATTTATTATTTGCAATAGCAAATGTTTGGTTTTTGAATCTTGTTTAAACATAAATTACTGTATGCAGCATTTTGTGAAACACACAAATAAACACGCATACAAACACAAACGTTGGCTCTCTGTCACAGTGATTATTAGCATGTGTGTTTGTGTGAAACGGTGTGAATTGAATGGGATAGGCTGGATTTTGGTATTTGCACATTTGTCCAAGCTTATAAGTGCACTGCACACACGAAACCACACGGTAAAGTTCGTTCATTAAAGATCCACTTGCCACATAGCATGCACAGCACGAATGAGAAAATCAAAATGACCGAAACAATAACAGGCATGGGAATATTACATTGTAGAATGTAATTTTCCATTCTAAGTGATGACGAACAAAACATCTTTTGCCACACATATTATATTCCGTGTGTATGCTATTTATATAGAACAATGTCCATGATGATAACATTGATCTTGTGTATGCAATTCCAACATTCTGCATACCAACATATGCATATACCAACGCTACAGTATGTTAACTTTGCCAGCGCTACATCCGTATGCTGTTAAAAACTTACTTTTAGATAATATGGCGCACACGATGACGCTTGTCGGTTGCCATTCATATATAAATTGTACAGATACATATTACACACACAGGTCACTGAAATGCTGACAAACACCAAATCTACCCATAATTTTTTTGCATCTTTTTCCCAAGAAATGACAACAAATAATGGGCGGACAATAAGTTTCTCTATATATGTGTTCAAATGCCATACTTTTCAAGCCGAGAGTACAGAAATAACGATAGAACGCATTAAAGCAGTGGAGTAGTAGAGAGAGAGAGAGAGAGAGAGAGAGAGAGAGAGAGAGAGAGAGAGAAGTATAGTTGAATAAAACAAAACAACATACACATGATGTGATATAGTTATTACAGTTACGATACTGAAAAAGATACATGAATTCAGAATATAATATGCGATAAAACTTATTTGTTGAATTAAAAATGTGCATGACTTTTACAGATGTTTTGATGCCGTTCTGTCATAAAATTAAAAAGATAGATCGAATAAACTATGCCCTGGTGAACAACGGGCTATCATAAGGGAGTTAGAATGCAATTTTTCTTCATTTGGCCTTGAATCAGAAGATTCATTGGAAAATTCGACGATTTCAACATGAAAATTTACTTTGGATATTAGTTGTATGTTAAAATATATCACGATGAAAATCAATCTTATTATTATTTAAATTGAAATATGAGGATTTATAAAATAAATATGAATTCAAATTCATTCGTTCATTCATCAAATCCAAAATAACTGTGTGGTTAAATTGTGGCTATGGAATTCAATGGCTAGTAGTGCGCATTGATAACTGATATTCCTAGTATTAATATTGGTTTGTTTCCATTGAACGTAATGTATAATACGTTATCCTATTGTTATTTCTAATCGTATTGCTAATGTTAAACATACATAAATTTTCAATCACTTCGATGAATATTTACTTTGCTTTTAAACACAAAAATGACTCATTCTCTCTCTCTCTCTCTCTCTCTCTCTATCCAATGTTCCATTTTGATTCAATTTAATTCTCTTCAACTAGTGAATAATGTATTTATACGTTTTGATAATGTTCGAATTGCATAATTTTCTATTTTGTTTTTTTTGTCAATTCGTAAATTTAAACTTCATGCTAAAATATTCCAATTATAGAGCTCTGCTTTCCTCATGATAGGAAATTGACTATTTCTTTATTTATTTCGACAGCAAGAATATAGAAGAAGTCAGACGGATAATTATAGAGAATATTCAAAAAAATAGAAATACATAGTATGGCATTGACGATTGAAGTAGGAAAATGGACAATATTTGAAATGGTAATTACTTTATGTATTTGTTTGAATATTTTTCAAATGGAATAAAAATGTAAAAAAGTAGATAGTACATATTTTCGAGATAATTTCAAGTCCTTTTAGTATTTGGCCAAACGATTGACTCGATCCAATCTAAATAGAATGCGACTCTCGTGTAAATGCCGGGCAATGCTGTGCCGCAACTAAGACCATATGAAACGATACCGACGACAGTAGAAACGCTTGAATTTGATGTGGGAAAATATTGAAGTGGGCCACCACTGTCCCCTTGACAACTATCATTTCGTCCCGTTGGGTCGTATGCACAGTACTGCCCTTGACTGATGCCATCTTGAAGAGCAGCTTGATATGCAAGAACATTGTAGTTCAAAAATGTTTGATTGCATTCGGGTAATGGCATCGACGTCAATTGAGTTTTGAGAAGAACGTTCGATCTTATTTCACCTTTCGAAATGAAAAAATCTTTTAAAAATCTTCAAAAAAACCACATCACCAAAAACATACGATCGAATGAAGTCGAACCCCAGCCAGTCACCAAAAGCTTCATTTCAGCAGTAATATCACTCAAATCCGTCTGCAAGCATGCTGGTGAAATTTCACGAGTAAAATAAATACGTCTTCCCAGTCGAAGCAATGCGATGTCATTTCTTTTGGTTATTGATGAATAACTCGGATGGCGAATTATATCCTATTTCGTTTTAAAAAAAACTCTTTTGAATGGAATCCCTTTCGAAAATATAAAAAATTGCATAAATGTTTACATTAATTGCATGATTTGTGGGCCTGATTCCATCTCCGTCGATTAGGCTTGTCTGTTTTTTTAAGGAATAACAAAAATTCATATTATTTGTATAAATATTTTGTATTTCATTACTTACTTTGCCCAATCGCACTACAACCGGTGGTCGAGCTAAAGCAGTGCAGTGCGCAGCTGTCATTACATACAATTCTGATATAACAGTGCCTCCACAGTTGAATTCCACGTTGTATTGATCATTTAAATAGCCCAATGCAGCCTGTGAATTGATATTGATTTTTAGAATTTTGTATTGAATACATATTGAAGTTAGATACCATCCATGGGAATTCACCAAGTTCAACTGGCCTACCACCCAAAATACGATCCACTGGGGCCTTTAAATACAGTTCGCATGCTAATTTTTATTTAAAAACACAACAAAAGTTTCACCAATTGGAAATCTTATACGAAAACAATTCAACAACTCTCTCTTCAGAATACCTTTCTGTGCTGGTCGCTTTGGTACTGATACTATCCATTCCACATTTTGCAAGCAATCTGCAGGCACAATTTACTTATAATATATAACACAGTTGACTTTTCTACAATACAATATTTTTATCATCGTTAACTCACTTGGATTTTGTCCATCACACAATCTGGCCAATAATGGAATAAAAGAAGAGTTGTGAGGAAGGGAGGAGGGTGGTGGTGGAAATGGTATTTTTCCCACTTGAATTAATTCTTCAATCGTATTCACATTGTTATTCTGATTGCCATTTATATAGGGAGCTTTAATGAGCACAAATTTTAATGTTTGTTTTGTATATGAAATAAAATATTTACCAGTCAAAACAAAGTCGACTAAAAGCACTATCCAGACAAAACTTTTCATTGTAGAATCAACTTGCTCAAATATTCCGAAAATGAGCATTAATAAAATTTTATTTCATTTAACGTTAACGTTGGCAAATTATTCGTTTATAATCTGTTATTGCGAGAGTTTACATTTTGTTCATACTTTCACTGTAAAATATCATCCAAATTAGGTAATCTCTATAAAAACACATACAGATAACTCTCAAGTCATTTTCGTTCGCGTATCAATTGTGATTTTTTTTTAAATAAATATTCTTAGAACATGTACAATTGTACATGTTTGATGAAAGGGTCAAAAGTACAAGAGTCAATATTTTTGATATTTTGTCAAAGCCACATTCAATTTTATTACATATAGATAATTTATGGCACAGTACATTGAATTTAATCTCTGATTGAAAACTTTAGCACCAGTAAATATTAACATATTTCAGTTGTGAACGAAAATTGGCATTTTTTATTATTAATCAATCGAAAGATAACCAAATTGAATGTTATGCAAAATAATCTATAAAAATAAGACTACCTTAATTATGAGTGAAACAAATTACAATTAATTATACAATTTAAATCTTTTTCTATTAGACGATTATATGTTGAGATTTCAGTGAACGTGACGGAAAACTGTGAAGTAAGAAAAACCACCGTTCACAATCTGAAAATGGACAATCAGCAAGGAAAGTGCTAAATTAAAAAAATATATATTTTTAAAGAGTGCAATGCTGTTGCATCTTTTACTAAGAGCCTTAGTAACTAAGACAAATGTCGTAAGTTATTTACGGTTATTCCGAGAATAAGCTACTGTAAAATTACCTTTTTGAAAGATTCCCGCATGCAGTATACATTTCCGAATCCTTGAAGAACGACTGGTTTTTGAGTAACCTTCATGAATAAAGGTAGCAATTGCTTAGCTTCGTTGGGAAATGTATACCAATCGCTTTGGTAAATTGTGTCACTGAATTTCTCAAATCGATCGGTTACATTTTGACCGAAGTAACAGAAGGAAAACATTAAAGCAAACGACCAAAATAATATTATAAATGAGCGAATCAATTCGAATGAATTTTCCGTACCCTAGAATGTTAACAAAAAATAGAATAAATGGATTTCATTTAAGTGTAATCAATAAAATAAATAAACATACCAAATCCCTTTGAAAAACTAAGAGCGTACTACAAATTGACATAATAGTGCCCAAATAGTAAGTCAAAATGAAAATCTCATAAATATGATTAAAGTCAGCTATTAATCTGAAATATTACCAAAAAAAACTAAAATAAATTATGATTCGTAAGGAATAAATCGCACAACCTTTTAAGTTTTGAATGTAATTGAATGATATCACATAATCTTCCCTTCATTTTGTATCGTTTTATTGTTCGCAAATCATTTTCTATGTCTGCAATAACCGCGATAGTCAACCAACAAAAGCCAATCAACAGACAGTAGGTACACTGCACACAAAGCATGACGCAGTAGATGCATGTCATTTGGAATGATAGAGCAATTGCATACCCATTGTAAGTTCTCCAATCGAAAGGAAAACTAAATTTATTGAAGAAAATTCAACGATTATCTTACATTTGAACATTTAACTCGTCAAATCACTCACAATGACAAAAATGGCAATCGAAATGTTGCGCTCGGATTTGAATTATTGGTGGTGAAATAAGTGATGATCGTGAATAATAAGTACGGTATTGCAATGCTTATGAATGTTAATTTCACAAAAAGAAAATGAAATATATTTGTCCATTTTTCGATGCGATCATTCGCTTCTTGATAACTAAATCGCCTCGCAGAATTTAATCCTTTAAACAAAAGGTTAAAAGTGAAATATACCGAAATGAAAATCAAAATTATTCTCAACTCACGCTTTTGTATGACATTCTCCAGACTGGTGATCAATTCAAATATTTTGCTCATTTTGTGAATGATCGATGGAAAAAAAATAGTCGGACACAAACCGGTCATTATCCCAAAAAATGCATCAGCATATTCTTCCATTTTTTTTGCTTCAACTAACAGAAAGATAACAGATGAAATGAAAAAACTCATAACAAAAAACCAAACCAATAAATATTTTCGGTTAAACCAATGACGTCGCATGGGATGAATATCGATTGTAGCGAAAAGATGTCGAGTTGAACGAAAAATCTCCATGGCTATCGATTGCTCCAACTTTGTTTAATGATAAACTCAAACTATTTTCCGTTTTTTGTAATTCTTCTACGCTTTCGAACTCACAGAGAGTGTCATTGGAGAGAAAACAAAAAAATAGAATTTGAACAAAATTATACCAAATTGGTTTCAATATTGATATTGAAAATAACGAAGGGCAATCGCACTTTGAATACTGCAGTTGTGCTGCTCTCTGACATTTATAAGTTCAACCCTATGTAAAGACATTGCTTTCCTCTTCTTCTTCATTTGCAAGAAGCATGTGCTTTATAGCAGCTTAACTTTGAGATACCAGGTGGCAGCACATCTGCGTGTTCGAAACCCAATACATTGCTTTAAATGGAGTGCGAGCAGAGCGTGGAAAATAAATGAGTAACTATCTAGGCTGAGCCGGATATATTAGGTAATTACAATTGATAATTGAATTATATCATTGAATTTGATTCAAATTTATTGCTATTTGTGTGCCTTTTGTTTGTTATAATGTCAAAAACAAATGGAACATCCGAATTCAACCTATTAATTTATTTAAAAGTACAAACCTTTTTTTTTCAAGAATCATTAATTCATTAAAACTAGAGCTGAAAATTGTAAAATCGTATTATTTCTCAAGGTTCAGCCAAAAGGCATGTGTATCAAAAAAACGAGTTGATATTATAAGTTGAACACAATCGGTAATAATTTATTGGTGTTTATATTTGAAACTTATCATTTATTGGAGGAAAAGTACAAATTCAGGCACAATAATGTCTTAATAAAATCACGAAATATTTAAATTATCATTTCAAGTTCTTTTAGTATTTGGCCAAACGATTGACTCGATCCAATCTAAATAGCAAAGCACGACGATAATGACAGCTCGGCAACGCTCTATTAGAGATTAGTACCGCTGGCAACCGCAGAACTATATAGAATCATATGGAGTCATTTGGTGGCGCTGGCAAGCAATCTTGCCTTATCGTCATGCTTTGCTAAATAGAATGCGACTCTCGTGTTAATGCCGGGCAATTGTGTACCGCAACTAAAACCATATGAAACGATACCGATGACAGTAGAAACGCTTGAACTTGTTGTGGGAAAATATTGAAGAGGACCGCCACTGTCCCCTTGACAACTATCATTTCGTCCCGTTGGGTCGTATGCACAGTACTGCCCTTGACTGATGCCATCTTGAAGGGCGGCTTGATTTGCCTGTAAATTAAAATTCGAAAGTATTCGTTCACACTCGGAAAATGTCATCGTTGTCAATTGTGTCTTTAGAAGAACATCAGATCGAACGCCACCTAAATATGTGCAATTAATCAGATTGGATAGATACACCTGTAGATCATATCTTACGTTCGACTACAGTAACACCCCATCCGGTTACCAGTAACTTCACATTTGAATTCATATCACTTAAATCCATTTGCAAGCATGGCGGTGTAATATCTGGTGTGAAAAATATACGTTTTCCTAATCGTAATAACGCAATATCGTTTCTCTTACTTAGTGTTGAATAATTCGGATGCCGAATTACGTCCTGTTGAAGTCAATACATTTAAAAAAATTAATGTAAGGAAAATATAAAAAAATTCAAATTGTTACTCGAATTGGATGATTCGTAGCTTTGATATCATCCTCAGCATCGGTGAGAGTTGGCTATTGTTTTAGGAATGGTAAATTTAGCGATATAACTACCAAATAATATTTTGTATTTCATTTCTTACTTTGCCCAATCGCACTACAACCGGTGGTCGTGCCGCAAGAGCACAGTGCGCAGCCGTCATTACATACAATTCAGATATAACAGTGCCTCCGCAGTCAAAAGTCACTTTTAATTCTCGATTTAAATAACCCAAAGCCGCCTGAAAAATGAGAAATATTTTTGCAAAGTGAAACTGAATATAAATTTCAAGGGCATACCATCCACGGGAAATCAGCTGTTGGCGTACCTCCCAAAATTCGATCTATTGGCAACTGTAAGTACACTTCACAAGCTGCGATTTTCATTGACAAAAAAAAAAAACAGGGTTGAATCAACAATTGAAAAGAATTTAATAACTACTAATAAGAATACCTTTTTGAGCTGCCCGCTTTCGTACTGATACTATCCATTCCACATTTTTTAAGCAATCTGCAGGCACAATTTACTTATAACATATAATACTGTTGACTCTATAACATTTCTTATTGACTCACCTACATTTTGAACGGTACATAAACCGGATAATAATGTAATAAAAGAAGAGTTCTGCGGAAGAGGGGCGTGTGGCGGAGGAAATGGTATTTTTCCCGTTTGAATTAACGTTTCAATGCTTGTCACTGCATCACCCCCATTTTTGTTAAATTGGGAAACTTTACACAATTATTGTATTTTCGAGTTGCAAAAAACGAAATTCATTGAAATAAAAAAAAAAATCACATTTACCAGTTAAAACTACATTGTAAAGAATTAGCACCATCAAAACCAAAATCTTCATTAAAAATTCAGTCATGATCCGCAAAAAAAGTGCTCTTTGTATAAATTTTACTTATTGCTTATCTCTTGACTTATTCTAAGTTAGAAGTTTAAACCGTAGCGGTGCAGTGGAGGGCGCGTAATGGAACTACGTGCCCATCACATTTACAGAACTTTTGGCAACACTGTTCGTAGTGTTTTGACATTTCATGAAGTGTGACATTAATGTTCGTTCATTTGAACCGTGTTTGAGTTTTTGAAATAAAGTGATGAAATTATAATTTATTATTGTGAGTTTGATATATATTTTATTATTATGATAAAATAACAGTGAAAAAAATGTGTGAAAACATATGTAAGTATTGAAAATTTCAAAAAAATTAGTTTAAATTTCTTGAATTGAATTGGTAAAATTTCTTATTATTTACAAGGTGCGTTGTTCTTTAAGGAGTCAGTCAAAAATATATTTCTTTTTACTACATGTGTTTGTTATGAGTATCTCTGAGCGGTGCAATGTGAGTGTGTAAATGTGTTACGGCTGGAACAAAAATGTGCTAGCGGTGGCACAAGTGTATTTACTGGACCGTAATCGACAGAACGGATAACTAACTTTCAATAATTCTGAGGAAAACTCAATAATATTTTTTAAAAATATTGAACTTAATGACGCTTAATGAAGTAATAAAAAAGAAATATATTTTTGACTGACTCCTTAAAGAACAGCGCACCTTGTGAATAATAAGAAATTTTACCAATTCAATTCAAGAAATTTACCTTGTCTTTTTGAAATTTTCAACACTTACAAATTTTCAACATTTGAACACATTTTTTTCACTGTTATTTTATCATAATAATAAAAAACATATAAAAACTCACAATAATAAATTAGAATTTCAAAAACTAAAACACGGTTCATATCAACAAACATTAATGTCACATTTCATGAAATGTCAAAACACTAATAACAGTGTTGCCAAAAGTACTGTAAATGTGATGGCGCCACCAGTACTAAAATACTACACTGCGCTAGGACGGTTTAAACACATAAAATAGACTGCAATATGGTAAAAATAATAAAACAATTCACAAATTGCAATTCTTTTTAAATATTCATTCAAAACAAAAATACGTGTTATTTCAATGCGAATCTGGTATCGATACAAGCACACAAAACAATTCTACCAGTCAGTGCAAATAATTAAATGCAAACAAAAAATCACTTCGCGTGTGTTAGTTTATTCAAGTTCTGTTCTGGTTATGCTGATGTCAGTGTATATTTGTAGCTAATCAAGTTTTGAAGGTCAATAGTTTCTTCAAGATTTAGTGTACCCAAACGAATTTTGCCTGCAATCACTTTTTAATTTTTGATTTCTCTTCATTTTCGTGATTGTTCAAGTTCATATACAACGTTAAATTGAAATATCGTCTTATTTGTGAATAAAGTTGAGAAATTAAATTGAATTGTGTTTTGGTTTTGCTTCTTCTTGTTGGTATATATTGTGGAGAAAAATAGATAATGGCCGAAGATATAAAAATCTGTTATTTCAGCACCAATTTTTGGTCAACTATTCACTCCAAGACACAAGAACACCAAAAAGTACCACCTTATAACAAGTATGCAGGTAATGTGTTATTTTACGAATAAAAATAATTTTTTTTGGATGTAAGCTCAATAATTGAACTTCAAATTTAGCATAATTGGTTCAACGCATTCCATCATTGTCGATCTCTTGGCATGCATTTAGTAAGCATTACATCACAAGATCAAAATGACATAATTGTGAAGCAAATTAAAGACGATGGTGAGGAGAATGATGATAATATTGAACCCCGAAAAAAGTACATACCAATTTTTTAAAATTATTTTAAGGTTACGAGGACAGGGTATTTTGGACATCTGGTACAAGATTAGTTAATACATTTGTTTGCACACACATTAAACAAGGAAATCAGATTTGAGGAAATTTGTTTTTTTTTTTCTTAATTAGGCAATGGCAACGACTACCAATGGATGGGTAACGGAAAACATGTAAAATACACCAATTGGACACCTGGTCAGCCTGATAATATATTGGATAGAAATGAACATGAGCAATGTATCCAAATCACTGGCAAAGGAACAGGTCAAAATGATCGAGAAGATTTGAAATGGAATGATCGCATTTGTAGTTATAATTTTAATTTTATTTGCGAACAAGATATAATTGAATAAAAATATTGTTCAATATAAAAATACATATATACAAACATTTATATTTAACTACATTTATCATACACCCGAATGGAAATCGAAAGCATAAAAGCAATATAAGATACTTTTTTATAGATATTTTGTAAATTTTCTGAAATCGGATACTGATCAAAAAGTTTGCCATGTAAGAAAAACTCACTGAGAAGCGAGAGAATTTTTTTTAGTTCGTATAGAACGGTATACGAAATGTTTTACTGTTTCCGGATCTTATTTCAGATAAAAACGAGAGCAAAAAATGGAATTTCATAAAAATGTTAAACCGATATACTTTGTGAGATACTCTAATCGAGTAATATTTTCTCTAAGAAAATGAAGGATGCAATATTTCATGCTGAACATATGTATATGTACGGCTGTACGTACATTATAAATATTGAAACTAGCTATTTCTTGTTGTCTGTTTGCACTCTTTTGAGAGGTTAGAGCATGGGGTTGTAGGCTGAAAAGTCACTTGTAATCGGTTCAATTTATACGATGGCAATTTAAGTGTTGAAACTTTGTAAAGCGGAATGGCATGTGCTCTAGTCTCAATTTGACCTCATAAATCCTTTGAAATGTGAAATCACTAATTCAACGATAGCAATTTCACTTCAGTGCCCCACATACATTCACATTTTCAGAATAAACTAATCTCCGATGGACTATAACTGGCAATTTTCACCAAACACGTTTTACAATAAACTTGATTTGATTGTTTGTCGTGTGTGCTTATTATATTGAAACGAAATAAACATTTGACCAAAGTTCTTGTAACGAAACAATCACATCAACATAGACAATAATCATTTTGATACAATTGTGCCAAAAGTATCAGTTAAACGAACAGAAAAAGAATCATGCTCTGAACTCTTACACTTTGACATTCGTATGTCGAAGGGAAAAAAGGCATGTTGATTAAAACAAATGTTGGATAACCGCTATTCCATTTCATACAGACAAGACTAGATGAGAAACCGGAAAGCATTCATACCATCATCACAACTGTGGTGGTATATTCGAAGAATTATGCATATATTTGAATACGAGTGCAAACACGAGTGGAAGTGGTAGTAGCGACACCAAAATGTACGGCCTCATATCATAAATCTTTATCGTTCCTAATTAGTAAATGGATACGTAAATGCATTCATGCAATCTCACAATTCGAGAATGAGTCTCGCACGTTTCTCATGACAAACAAACATAGTATATGCTCTTCGTCTCTATTTGTGTGTACGAATGTATGAAATCCGCTTCGATGTGAAATATTCAGTTTCATTTTCATTTGATATGTTCCCTTCAATATATTTACCATGTGTGCGTCCGTGTTCATGTTCATATACAGTCCAGTGTCAGTTTCATTTCGAAATTACTAAATCAAATTAAAACCAAAATAGTCAAATGAAACTGAATATTTTCCAAACACAAACTGTTCGTGCCTGAGCACTTTTGCCATGGTGTACACTGTACAGTAAATGTGTATGGTATGGATTAGTCATTTGAAGATGAATTCACTTGTTATAAATCGTTGAGTATAATCCAATCTTCGAAACGACATGGAAAACCTAGTGGAAAACGGTTTGTGTGTCTTTTTGCATTTTCATTTAATTTCGAGTGTTTTCCAATTAAAACCCCTTTAAACTGCATAATATTTCTCGATTCATTTTGTAATACAACACACACACACACACACTAGATTGCGTATGCCCTTCGTTTGGAATACATGCAAGAAATCATTTGAACTATCAGGAAAAGTTGTAATATGTGTGTTCAACTGATATATGTTTCAAAATTGAAAGAGTAATTATTAAAAAATGCCATACATGAACCAAAAAAGAAAACAAAAAAAAATCAAAATAACAACAATGTTCTCATCATGCTTCCGTGAAGTTTTAATTAAGTTTGATAAGAATTTCTTGTATTCATTCCCGATGAACTCATTTTATTCTTGAGCAGAAGTTGAGAAAACTGCCAAAAAGTTATATCTTTCACATATGATTCTTGTTCGTGTATTCATTTTTTTTTGTATCGTCTTAGTTAGCCTGTATATTTTACTCGCACAAAACTCGATGGATAAACTTTACAAGAGTACAAGATAAAGAAACTACGAAAATTTTGAAGCCACCGTGAATGTGTGTCATTTGACACAGGTAAAATTCGTTCAAAGAAACTTGTGTTGACGGTATCTTAACAACCGAAATTGCAATCTACAGTTCTGAGCACTTTTAATGCGATTTCAATTCGGTAAATTGCACCTTGAAGAGTTTTTCATCGTTTTCATTGAGAGATTTAATAAAATTCCAAAATAGACTTTGTCTGACACACAAAAAAATGAAAATGGCACGATAAAAACTAAACGATGCATCGCAACTCATTTGAGAAACGTATAAAATCAAAGTGTTAAGTACTATTGTTTTTTAAGTACTTCAATAAAGTTGAAGTGTTTTCAAAGAAAAATGTGCATTTAAAAAAACGTTTGCTTGATGTCGACTCAATTTTATGACGTTTCAAATCGATTTCAGGTCATCGGAAAAACTGAATGAAAATATTTTGCCGAAGAAGCTGTTGAAATCCAATAAAAGTAAGATTGCCGATCGCACAGAATCAAATATAAAGAGAGTATGAAATTATTTTTATCGATATATTTCCCCCCTTTGAAATGGAACAAAATAGATAAATTCAATTCGAATTCAATTTTCACGTTGCAATAGAAATCATATTATTAGAAGTAGAAACGATGAAATATTATTTCATTTGATTCCATTTGATTCACGTTCGTCGAACTTGAAATCTTTGGCAGACGGTGTGTAACATATGAAAAGCAAAATAACATTAATAAGTGCAAGTTGTCAGACAAAACCATAAATGAGTATTTATTGCGATTTATTGCATGTCATAAATAAATTTGAGTTTATTCGAAAGTGTTGATGAGTCGTTTAAAGTTTTTGGTTTTGGTATACTTGACACAATATTTTGTGTATGCATAACAAATATTTAAAACCTGAATTCACAATGTACCGATATAATCAAGAGTCAAGTTGTCTGTATTTGGTTGAAACTCACAAAATTTGCACTATTGAGCTTTATTCTTGTAAATATTGGTATATATCCGTATACAGGTCACTTGTTCTGTTTCTATCTACCTCATAGATATCGAAGATGTTCTTTGTCTTCGGGTAAAAAGCCACGCAAATATTTCTTTTCAATCCATTGCAAATGCATTGATTGCAGTTCAGTAGATATATTTTATTCAAATGCTCTGCGTCAATCTAAACGAGTTTTCTACTATGTGTCTATCCGTTTCGATGACTCACCGCGGTGAAATAAAATGCATTCAATTGAAATGTGGCAAATGGAAATTATTCTGTATGAATATTATAATAACCTGTCAATCAATTTAAAGGAGTTGTGAGAAATAGTATGTATGTTGTGTTCGATTGAAATAGATTTAACTGCAATATATATATAAAAAAATGGAAGTTTACATATTTTCTTTTATCTTCACATCACTCGATTTGTACATATTTATCATGCAACAAATGAAAATATTCATATTTTCGACAGCTCATTTCATTCAGACGGTGAAAATGTTCTGTAAACTTGGAAAAATAAATCAAAACTATATTTTTTTGAATTTGAATGCATTTTGTCTTGTATTCATATTGATTTATAATAGAAATAAACAAATACCAATTGAGTGTAAATGTACAATAAAAATTGAAATTGCGTGATTTCTACTCATTAATATGAAACACTTGAAAAAATCGTTTTGCATTTTAAAAAAACGTCTGAAAGCATTTTTAAGCACGAAAACTCGTTGAAACTTCTCAAGTTCCTGAAACGCCCCGTTAAATGGAAGTACAATTTAGATTGGATGAGTTTCGATGGCTTCAACAGATGTTTTTCATATGATTAGAATGTATGGCCCACATTCGTTTTGAAATATAGGCGCAAGAATTAAACTTGCATACACATTGTAAGAACTTTGGTGCTTTATGAGAAATCAGATGTTAGATAAAAACATGTAAATTGTATTTTGTTCAGACGAGCAACGCTATATGAAAGTAAGCCTTCTACGAAGGAAGTGATCATTGTAGTTGGTGTCGAACTTTGAAATTAAATGAATTGAATCCATCAAAAAATCAACGGGATGTTTAATATCAATAATTATAATCGAAAATTGCGTTCAAAAACCTACGAAGATGTACTAGAAAAAGTTTATCGACAAAATTGTGTTGGAAAATGACTGGTGCTTTTGCGTTATGGTAACGATATAGCTTGAAGCAATTTGTGAAAAAAAATTCGTTAAGTAAGAATTTTTCATAGTAAAATGACAGAAGTTACAATCATAGAAATTGAAATTGACGAAACTTGAGACGGAGATAATGCAAAAAAAAAAACTCGTAAAAAATGCCTGAATCAGGAGAAAAAAATGTTTTTGTATAAGTCACGCTTTTCCATTAAAAACTCTCACAATTACTGACGTACCTTATCCTCCCACCGTTTTTCTCTATCTTTTTTCTCTCGAGACTTCCTTGCATCCCATTTTACTAGGGGAAAATGACTACTTATAAGTTCGACGAAAGCTATAGAATTGTACGAAAAACTTACACGAACTTATGAAATCGCACGCTTCTTATGAGAATTTATACGAACTTACGCTTTGTCCATATATATTAACACACTGCTGTAAGTTTGATATGCGTCAACATGCCGAAACAGTCGCACATATAGTAGTCAAATGACACAACGCTGGTCAACTTTTTTTAATTACATCTCACGCTGCAAATAATTTGTACAAAAAAGTAGAACGTATTTTAAAATAAAAATTACCAATCCAATTAGTAAATTGGACATCATCGCTCTCAATACTCATAGACTCATAAGCAATAATTCTTTGTGGATCTTTGAGATACATTACTGGTTATTCACTATCAAAATCGAATCTTTCAAAAATGACGTCTAATTAGACGAATTTATAT